CTGCACATTATAAGATCCCTGAGCAACAGTGTGATGACTGACAGTGAGTTAGGTAGCTTTGGAGAAATAGGTCATAGAGCTAAAAATACCTGTGTCTCTCTCTCTCCTCTTGAAGACAAAGAGAGTCTCTCTGGAAAAAAAAAGTGAGTGAGTGAAATGAGGAGAACAGCCCACCAGTCTCAGAAGAAGAAAAAAAGAAGCCCTTTAGAATTGCGGCTGCTTATGCAAACAAACATTAAAAGGGGCCTGGGTATAAGGATGGGGAGGAAGGATCTACAACGGGGTGACAGTCTTCGGCTTAAGAGCGACAGTGTGAAGAATTATCTAGAATTCATTTTTCTCAGATCAGTGAGGCAAAGCGGAATAACTATCCAAGAAGTCCGCATTCCGCATCCCATGAAATGACTGAGAGAGACAGGGCACCATCACTTTAGGAGACAGAGAGAGATAGTGGAAGATAGAGGAGAAAATATAGACAGTAAGTGAACCTGAGTAATTACTAGAGAGATTTGAGGACCAGTAGAGGAAGAAAGACTGGGAAAAAAAGCACAACGAGGACAGTGGGAAACTAATTCAATGATTCAAAGATTCCCAATGAAATGTCATCATTTTGGTGAAGGCATGCCAGTTAGCAGATAATCAGCAATCAAGGCAGGCATAATTTAATCACCATCTCTTAAAAATTAGTGATTTATAAAAGCCAGTAATGCAAATTAGATTGGCTCCTCAACTGATATCTCCTCATGGCTCCAGAAGTACTGCACTTTAACTGGGTTCTTTGAAGAGGGATATTGAAGAGCGTAACATCACAGTAATTCAGACGCTGATTGCTGCCCCTCTTTCTGTTCATTCAGGTTTCTCATGCAAATTTTTCAAATGCACCAAGATGCACACCTGACCTTTTACATGCTGAAAAACATTTGTCCACATTCGACAACAAAGTTCACCGCTCAGGGAAAGTGTTCGAACCAAAGAGAACCCTGATTTGTCATGTATGAGTTACTTACACAAGTCACTGAATCAAAACGGCAGATTTACAGATATTTTATTCCTTTACAGAAAAGTATTATAGTGCTACTGAAGTTAATCTTAGTACTGAATGATTACAATATTCATGTACTGGCAACACTGTACAATAAGGTCCCATTTGTTAATGTATTACCTAACATTAACTAACAATGAGCAATATTTACAGCATTTATTAATCTTTGTTAACCTTAGTTACAACTGCTAGGGTTAGGCTTAGTTCATGTTAGATCAGGTCTATTAAATGTTAACAGATATAACTTTTGATTTTAATAATGCATTGGTCAATTTAGAAATTAACAGCCTACCATGCTTCAGAATAGGCCTGGGCTATGTTTCATTGTTAGTAATGATTTAACTAATGTTAACAAATAGAACCTTATTGTAAAGTGTAAAAAAATAGCCTAATTCAAAGAATATTATAGATGATGATACATGTCCAAAAACTACTTGATTTTTTTTAAGAGTAGCCTATTTGCTACACTTCATAAGAACTATTAAGGTAAGTTACGGTATGTGCAGGGTAAATTACTCTAAAAAAGTAATTAATTACTAGCTTACTAATTACATATTCAACAGTGTAATTACTGTATACTAATTACTCATCTAAAAAGTATTCGATTACTTATCACTTTACAATAAGGCTCTAGAACAAGTAGGCTAGTCTACTCTAGGCCTAAACTGTAATTAAAGAAAAATTAAGAGTAATCCCTTACTTTACTTTTTCAAGAGAAAAGTAATTAAATTACAGTAAATAGATTGCTTAGTAGGCTAATTAATTACACTCAACACTGGTTAATGTATAGTATGGACAGGAAATTGGCGTTTAATGCCCGGTCTAAGTTAGCAGTTAACTTATGTTACGCAAATGGCAATCGTGTGCATTTAGAAAGCTAACAGTGTGACAGGTGTGTGGGCCAATCTCTCCATATTTTTTTTTAAAAACAACTATATTCATATTTGCTACACTTAGGCCTATATCCGTCCCAAATTAATTTGGCATTTTTGAATAAGTATTTTATACAACGTATTTGTCTAAATTCGAATTATGCCAAAGCTGTTCGTGTTAGGCTAAATGTGAATAACCGGCATTGTACCGCTCTCTAACACCCGAATGTTATTTCACTTATATTACACTCATTTGTTATTTTTGACACATTTTGAGTTATAATTTGTCTATAGCCTAAAAGTGTCTTACCTCATAAAACCTTGCATCCTGTCTGACTCTGAATCCTGCGCGCGCCGCTCTAGTCAGTTAACGGTTTTTGCGCGAGTGGGAAATGTAGGCTGTCTCGTGCGATCATTCAAAGTTGAAATGATATCCATAATAATATTAATATTTTACTTTAGTCAAATGTTTGGCAACTGTGCCCGTTGTGCCATTTTTAAGTTACAAAAGTAGACATAATATTCCACAAGCTTTGTAATGTGGCCTGGTTGTATTTTGGTAGGCTATTTTTTTCAAACGTAGCATAATACAAACATGTTACTAACGTGACGTTCCAAACTGCAACCAAAAACAACGTTGTGAAGACGTTGTGTGCTTGCAATGGGTCAAGGTAGGCAATCGTGGTGCAACCTCCCGGGTTAAAAACCCGACACAAGTGCAATTTCCCCTTTATAAGATATGAAAGCTACAGTCACATTTGCATGCCAAATACAAACACGTCTCCCCATTCGGAAGGTCCCAGTCTCTAGCAGACGAATGTAAAGCAATTTTTGGCACTGAGCCCGTGTGGCGTCTGCGTGCCGCACGCCGAAAAAATGTGACAGTGTGCACAAAGGAATCTAATGGAAACTTCACAGAATGTGCATTGATGCAACGGCGCATACGAGATACCAAATGTTACACGCCACTAAAATATCATGCATAAACATGCATTCGGCTTAGAAACAATAACACAAATAATTCATATTCAAGATGCATGTTATTTTGTAGCTACAGTCTAATGTGATCAACGCGTGCAATAACCACTGAAACATGCTTAGTGTGATAAATTGCAACATTTTCCAGTTCAGGCAGTTTGCACATAGACAGCGCTGTTATACAGACAGCATACCAGTTCGTTTTGTTTGACATCATTCTATACAACAGGAAAGCAAAAATGTTCAAGTGCCATCGTTTATCTTGAGACTCGATGACCAGTGAACTCTCCGATCCCAATACCAACAACTGTAAGTTCCTAGTGATCAATAGGCTACTGACCAGGGACGCCGGGTCAACATTCTCAACATTCCTCCATATCACTGTGCATATGCAGAAATGACACCCGAGACTATGCACTTTATAACATGCCTTGCCCAGATGACAAAATGTCGTCGTATGCATTATGATTTATTGCATTTCAACATGCATTCGTAGTTTAAACCTCGCCGGCATTTTATACTTTTTAAAGATGTTTGCATATTTGTGAATTTGAACGAACGCTGTTTGTTGCATGACATGCATTCAAAAAAGCATTAAAATATAAATATTTTTACTTACGATTTCAGAGGATTTTGGACCACTGTGGCCATTTTGATATAGAATGATACAATGTAAGACTGCAGATCCCCGGTATTGTACATGTAATATAGCAGCAATTTCAATTTCATTCATTCTCTGGGGCTGCGGCTGGATCAGCTAGCCAATAGGAGCGCGACTGACTGATGGCCAGTGAAGGGAAATGTAGTTTTAGTTCCCTGATGTCTTCAAGAGGAAGCGGCGCGTGTACTTCAAATAGCACAATGCACTGCGGTTAACTGTATACTAGTCCCGCCTTGATTTTGTATGGGTAAGCCAAAACATCTACTGTAAATTCAAGGTTGGATTGCTGGACTGTCTGTCAGTATTTTGCTCTCATGTTGGTAGCTTTTTTTGATTCGTAAAGAAATGGGAATATTTTTAGATAGCGATGGCAGAAAGAACAACATAAAGAAATCGTCTGTTCTTACAATGCATGTATTAGGCATAAAATGTACGTTATGTAGGCACTGATCAATATCACATAGCTTTATTAAATAGCTTTATTTAATAAATAGGCTATAGGCTACATATCCATCTCACTAATATAGGCCACATCGTGTAGCCTATATTTGTACACACATTTATTTTCCTATCACTCCATTGACTTCCACTGTGTAGCTATACTGAGCTAATAATATTTTTCATCTCCTAAATCTAACCCTTAAAACAAACTTTTTTGCATTTTACATTTTTTATTAAGACATTCTTTTCGATTTTCTTATCTAGCATTTTTGTATGCTGGTTGCATGACTGTTGCATTTTTGACTGTTGGTATATAGCCAATAATACACACACACACACACATATATATAAACTACAGAGACAATATTGTTACTCATTAAGGAGTTATTCTCCTATATTGTTTTATACTAATGAAATACAAATTTGCAAATATTGTGACAAGAGGCCTGACTGACCTCTAAAGGAAATGGAAGTGACTTATAAAGGGCTCTTCAGTCCAGTTAACTGCATTGGCGCCACTTTGAAGGCATTCTGTGACATGTGATATTTATAGATCCCTGCTAACAAATATTTAATGAACCTTAGCAAGCTCTATGGAAAGACTGTCTGAAAAAAAAAAAAAAAATGTCCTGTTGAATCATCAGGGATTTCTGCAGACCACACATTTTTTTGCATTTTTAAAGGGGGTTTTAGAGTTGAGCTAATCTTCAATTCATATTGCGATGCAAGAAATCCTATAACTAAAATTAAACATCTTATTATGTTTGCACCACAACACTTTTACCCAAAAACTGCCATAATTATAGAATAATGAGCTAATTTTAGAGCTTATTTTATGGAGATTTCTTTTTATTGACCAGGTTTGTATTACAGTATGAACTTTTGTTTTCTGCACACAAAGACCGCCACACGACAGTTCATCAGAATATCCACTAGAGGGTGTCAGAAAGCGCTCACTAATCCAGAATGAAGGCGCTTCATTGAACAGCAACAGCGCCCTCTTGAGGTCAGCTGGATATCCAAGTAAATAGTCCTGGGACAGTTGTAGTCTAACTACTAGCTTTCCGGGGATTTGGGATGGTTTTAAATCTTTCACTATGTCTGAAATGCTACTGAAAGATATGGATGAGATTAGTCTCGGGCCTGTTAAGATGGACGAGGAGAAGGAAAATGGACGGAGTTTTCTCCTGGTTGACGAAAACGAAAGCTTGCAGGTTTGTTTTTGTTAGCTTCTGCGTTAGCCATCAAGCTATTAGGTAAAAAGCACATGTAAGTTAGTGTCTTTGTTGTTTTTATACACGTTGACAGGTGTCTGTCAATTCACGAGCATGATAGTTACTAATTATCATACGTGTAATATAAATAACACACAGATAAACTAACCCCAAACTGTCAATGTTGCTGAATCACAAGAAAGAGGTGTCTTTTGTCAACATTTAAGGATCTCACTGACATGTAAAGATACCATGGTTTATCATGTTTTCGGACATGTATCATAATGAACAACCATTATATTCTTGATGTACATTGTTAATACTGTTGGCTAATAATAATAATCATTCACTGTTATCTGTTGGCTATCCCTTGAGAGGTGACAGTGCCATTTCAGATAGTTTACGGTCTTTCCAGGGACCAGCATGCATTGCTTTCACTGTGAGATTGTTACTGTATAGAGATTCCAAATGAAACTTCATTATGTTCTTATTCTTTTGTTGTTTCAAATCTTTTGTTGTTTCAAATCCATCTGACTTTCTTTCTTCAATGGGAACACAAAAGGCAGGATGACTCATTCATCATTAATGATGACAATTGTAATTTTTGGGTGAACTGTCCCTTTAAGATAGATAGATAGATAGATAGATAGATAGATAGATAGATAGATAGATAGATATATAGAGAGATATAGATAGATAGATAGATAGATAGATAGAAACAGAAACAGAGACTGGCAGATATATAGATTGGCCGATAAATAGACAGATAGACAGACACAATGTACACTCACCGGCCTCTTTATTAGGGGCACCTTGCTAGTACCAGGCTGGACCCCTTTTGCCCTCTGATTTTGAAAATGACCTTTGTGCCATAGATTCAACAAGGTGCTGGAAACATTCTTCAGAGATTTTGGTTCATACTGACATGATAGCATCACCCAGTGTCTGATGATTTATCAGCTGCAAATCCATGATGCATATCTCCCATTCCACCACATCCCAAAGGTGTCCAATTGGATTGAGATCTGGTGAATGTGGAGGCCATTTGAGTGTGCCAAGAAAATATCTCTCACGCCATTACACCACCACCACCAAACTAAACCTTTGCCAAAAGGCAGGATGGATCCATGCTTTCATGTTGTTTATGCCAAATTCTTAGCCTACCATCTGAATGGCGTGACAGGAGTGGCACCCAGTGTGTTCTTCTGTTGCTGTAGCCCATCTGCTTCAAGGTTCAACGTGTTAAGAGATGCTCTTCTGTAGAACTCGGTTGTAACGAGTGGTTATTTGAGTTACTGCAGCCCAAACCAGTCTGGCCATTCTCCTCTGACCTCTGCCATCAACAAGGCATTTTCGACCACAGACCTGCCATTCACTGGATATTTGCTCTTTTTCAGACCATTCTCAGTAAACCCTAGAGATGGTTGTGTGTGAAAATTCCAGTAGATCAGCAGTTTCTGAAATACTCAGACCAGCCCGTCTGGCACCAACAACCATGCCACGTTCAAAGTCACTTAAATCACCTTTCTGATACTCAGTTTGAACTTCAGCAGATCATCTTGACCAGGTCTACATGCCTAAATGCATTGAGTTGCTGCTATGTCGTTGGCGTATTAGATATTTGCGTTAACGAGCAGTTGAACAAGTGTACCTATTAAAGTGACTGGTGAGTGTAGATAGATAGATAGATAGATAGATAGATAGATAGATAGATAGATAGATAGATAGATAGATAGATAGATAGATAGATAGAGATAGTTAGTTGCTCTAATCTTGATGTCTCTCATACTCTTTCTCTCTCCCAGGTGAAGAACGAAGGCGATTTTTTGCAGAAGTTGGGCTGCAGTGCTGCTCAAGGAGTTAAAGTGCTTTCCATCTTTGGCAACACGGGCGACGGCAAGTCCCACACTCTCAATCACGTGCTTTTCGATGGCGAGGAGGTATTTGCCACGTCTCCTTCTCCATCCTCATGCACGGTGGGCGTTTGGGCGGCTTACGATCCGCTCCTGAGCTTGATCGTGCTGGATACAGAGGGCCTGCTTGGTGCCGCCAGTCAGCAGAACCGGCGGATGCGTTTGCTGCTGAAGGTTCTGGCCGTATCAGACATGGTTGTTTACCGCACACGGGCAGAGAGGCTGCACAACGACATGTTTCAGTTCCTCGGCAGTGCGTCGGCCGCTTACCTGAAGCACTTTACACCTGAGCTCCGTGCTCTGTCTAACCGCTGCGGGCTGGACGTGCCTCTCTCCAGCCTGGGACCTGCCGTTATAGTTTTCCAGGAGACTTCTCGCACTCAGCTGCTAGGCCAGGGTAAGTCAGAGCTAGCAGACTTTCACATTTACAAGACCTGTATTTATTAGTATGAATACAGCATTTTTCTGATACATGTTGTTCAAAGGCTGTTGTACGACTAGCCTGGGGCAAAGGGATTGGGTCTGCACACCCTCATGGGGCCTAAATAAAAAGTCTTTGAAAAAATCCAGAATTTTAGGCTGGTGGAGAGTCCCACTGGAAAAACACAAGTTGTCAGTCAAGCCGAATTGTTTCATCGCTCCCACTTTTATTTCTCTCTGCTTACTTAGTGATGAGAATTTCAATTTGTTTCATTGCCTCTGTTGTCAAATGATAAATCTAGTCTGTAATATGCTGGGCCAATAACAAAGTGCTATTTTTTGCTCATTTTTATCTATTAGCCTATTTGAATCAAAAATGCAATCCATACAGACAAAGCTTAAATGCATGATGAAAATGTTTTTAATTTATGAATTAGGCTTCACTTTATTTCTATGGTCCATTTAACACATTCTGTTGACTATAAGTAACGTTGAACCTACATGTCTGCTAACTCTCATTAGAGTGTTAGTAGAGTATTAGTAGACTGGCTAGAGTTAGAATAAGTTAACATGTAGTTGCAAAGTCACTTCTAGTCAGTAGAATGTCTGTTGGATGAGCATCACAATAAAGTGTAATCAGATAATAAGCAGATAGTCTAGTAATACTCCAATGACTGCCAGTTGACATGTAGTTGCAAATTTACTTGTTGTCAACAGAATGTTCAAAAGGGACCATCAAAAACAAAGTGTTACCATGGCATGAATTAATTCATTTATTCATTTCGAACTGTCCTGATATCATAATGACTAAAAGCCTAGCCTAAGTAAAATAATTAAATTATTATTTCTTGGAAAAAAAAATATTTCACTGCTTATTAATAATTGAAAAAAGTAAAAAGTTTGAAAAAAATGAAGTCATGTGGTGCCATCAACATAACAGGGGGGAAAAACCTGCAGACTTTCATTACTGTCAAGTTAAAAATAATAATTAAAAAAATATATTAATTACTTAATTTAAGTATATTTAAAACTTGCAACAAATAACGTGTGCACATTTATTCAAAGTATAAGGAAAATGTTTTTACTTTTTTACATATTGTTAGACAGGCCAAATGAAATTTTTAAATTTAGTCATTAAATTTTAACTTCTTGAATATAATGTTTTTAAAGTCATATGAAATCAACACGAATACAAAGAGATACAGATATTATATAAAATATAATTCAATATTGCATTTTCAGGTGTCTTATTGCTTCTATAAAAGATTACTGCATATTAGTGCATAATAAAAATATTTCATTTGGACAGATATTCATAAAAATCCTTTTTTTTTTCTTTTTCATTTGTCCAAAAGAAAAGAAAAACACTGGGGCATTAGAATTGGGAAGGAAGGTGATTTAAATGACTTAATGGTTAAGCTACTAGTTATCTAACACAGACTGCAGGAAAATCCCAAGGCATGGTGGCTCAGGTGTGGACTGTAACAAAGATCACAATACTGCTCAATTACAATTGTGCCCTTGGGTAAACCCCATGCTTTCAGCATGCTGTAAATCATGGTTCATGAGATATATTGTATAAACCACATAAAGAACGCTGTAAATGCCTGGAAAAACATCTTTCATCTTTTTATTTTGAAACTATTGAGTTAGTGTCATCCAATGAAGTGTGTCAGGCTAAAGAAATATGGGTTTGTTTTCTTATCCAGATGTCTCTGTCCTGGGGCAAGCAGACACGCTGCTGCAAAAGCGCTTCCATGACTTGGGCCAGAGCACAGACGCCTTCAGCTCCGTTCAGTACGTGGGCACCCAAACCATCACTCCCCCCACAGACTACTCACAGTTACTGCAGATAGTCAATCAGCAAGTGAAGAACACATCCCAGCGAGCCCCGCGCCAGCCTGCCATTGTGTTCAGTGCATTACAGGTAGCTCCTCACACTTTTCTTTGTGTATGTGTGTGTAAAGTGGCCCCAAAAAGAATTTAGACACTAAAAGGGATAGTCCACCCAAAAAAGAAAATTCTGTCATCATTTACTCACCCAACATTCTTCAAAATATCTTCTTTTGTGTTCACCAGAAGAAAGAAATTCATACAGGTTTGGAACAACTTGAGTGTGAGTAAATGATGACAGAATTTTCATTGTTAGGTGAACTAACCATTTAAGCTTTGATATTTGGTTTGATATATTTTGTATCTAATGCAAATAAATTCATGCATTTAAAGGAATAGTTCACCCAAAAATGAAAATGTCATCATTGTTTATTCACACTCCAAACCTCATTCCAAGGTCATTCCAAACCTCTGTAACTTTATTTCTTCCATGGAACAAAAAAAGAGAAGTTTAGCAGAATGTTCACAATGCTCTTTTCCATACAGTGAAAGTGAGCTGACCAGGGACGAGTTCCAAAAATGCACCATTACAGTGATCTGTTTGACTCTGACGCTTTAAGTAAACATACACTCGTGTTCAAAAGTTTTGGGTTAGTAAGAATTTTTATTAACGCAATAATGTGTTAAATTGATCAAAAGGGACAGTAAAGACATTTAGAATGTTACAAAAATATATATTTTTTAAAATAAATGCTGTTCTTTTGAACTTTCCATTCATCAAGGAATCCTGAGAAAACATATAATAAGGTTTCGACCAAAATATTAAGCAGAACAATTGTTTTTTTAGCATTGATTATCAGAAATATTTCTTGAGCATCAAATCTGCAAATTAGAATGATTTGTGAAGGATCATGTGACACTGAAGCCTGGAGTAATGATGCTGAAAATTCAGCTTTGCATCACAGGAATAAATTAGAATTTTAAAATGTATTACAATGGAAAATAGTTGTTTTAAACTGTAATAATATTTTACAATATTACTATATTTTTAATCAAATAAATGCAGCTTTGGGGAGAATAAGAGACTTCTTTCGAAAACATCTTGCTGACTCCAAACTTTTGAATGATAGTGTACTTCAGTAAGTGTGGCGTAAGTGTCCTAAAGTACTTTTTGGGTTCAGGGTACGCATGTACTGTATGTGTTCACCTTTGACCACTGAGCATGTTTCTGAAACTGCTCTTCACTGAACATCACTGCTCTTCTCTCTCTCAGGCCTTGAGCGACAGGTTCTGTGGCGAGATCTCCGATGACAAAATCAGCATATGCTCCTTCTTTCCTGATGAATATTTCACTTGCCCATCAGTCTGTCTCAGCTGCAAGTAAGTCCACACAAACTTTATGCTCCGAGCGATAGATTGAATGGATGTTTTTTTTTTTGCAGTTTGTGTTTAAAGAGATAGTTCACCCAAAAATGAAAATTATGTCATCATTTTACTCACCCTCAAGTTGTTCCAAACCTGTATGAATTTCTTTCTTCTGCTGAATACAAAAGAAGATTTTTTGAAGAATATGGATAACCAAACAGTTGATGGGCCCCATTGATTGGGAAAAAAAATTCTATGGAAGTCAATGGGGCCCATCAGCTGTTTGGTTACCCATATCCTTAAAAACTATCTTCTACTTGAGGGGGGATTTTCATTATTGGGTGAACTATCCCTTTAATGTGTGGCCCTTTGATGCATAGTAAATCAAGCAAATTTCTGCAGACTCTAATTTCATTGCATCAACACTGAGCCACTTTGTAATTTGATGATTCACAATTAGAAAGAACTAGGATCTGTATTCAGCATGCAAAACTAATGTATGGAATTGATTCGCACTGAAAGCACAAAAAGTTGTCAATGCACTGTAATTAGAATGTAATTAGATCTTGCATCAATTGTTATTGTTTTAGTGTGTGTGTGTGTTCAAGAGCACCTAATAGCTAGAAAATCATTTCTAACCTTTCCGAAATCCCACGGCTTTAGCGTTCGGTGTAAAAACGGCATGAACCACCAGAAAGACGCGGTCCCACACGTGGCTGATGGATTATGTCAGTATGCCCACCAATACAACAATAAAGTTCTCATCTGCAAGGTAACCTCGAGGTTAAGATCACATGTGGTTTTTTTTTTCATATTTTATTTTTAGTTCGTTTTTTTTGTTTTGTTTCATGTTTGTTTTTATTTAAATTCATTTTTATTGTTTTTTATTTTATCATTTAATTGATTGGTGTGTTTGTTTTTCGTTTTGTTGTACTATTGAAATTTTGTTTATTAAAATGACTTATTTTCTCCATTTGCACTAATTTATTTTGTGAAATTTCTCATTGTATGTACCACACAGCTGTGCTGCAAACACTTTGGCAATGCAAAAGTGGAGGGGGGTTTTCCCATGTAAATAAATCACACTAAATTGAATTGACATTAAAACTGATTAAAGGTACACTATGTAACTTTTCTACATTCACTACTAGGCTTAAAAGATATAAGCAGTTTAGATGAAAAGGATCTCAAGCTGACTAGCTGAAGGCGTTACTGTAGCTTTACCCAGTAGGTAATAGACACTGTAGCCTACTTCCTTGAAAATAAATTACAGCACAGCACAACAATCATAATGAAATGAGCCTTCATAATAGATAATGCTTTACAATGAACTCTAGCTAGAGCTACATATGGCAATTTATCTGTTCAATAAAATACCTTACTCACCTGTTCAGTAATGAAAACAAAACACCATCTCTGTGTCGCTTTTACAACATTTTATATCCCTCAGTTCTCGCCATCTCTGAAAAGCCATGCCAATGTTGATTCTTGTTTTATTACGAGCTCTGTCATGTTCTCTTTTTGACAGCAGACTCTCCTCTGTTCGGCGTTTGTTTAAAACGGGTGATTCGCCGGAGGATTGAGATTTAGCTGCTCCATGTCGACCTTTCTCGCTCGTTGTAACAACTAACCTCTGCCACTCACACACCATAAAGTAGCCGGAGCAAATTTTCTCTATTTACGGATATGACAAGACACGTAATTACCCATGAAAATCATCACGCTAGGTCTAAAATATAATAGGCTTACCATAGTGAATCAGGCTAAGACAAAAACACGTTTTGGAAGAAAGATTAATGATGTATTGACTAATAATGTATTGTTAATTTTGAACAAAAAAGTTGAGTGCTGTACCTTTAAGACTAGTCCCTATATTTAAGGGGATTCGCCACTTATTTAATTGAGGTTTCAGATGAATCTGTTTGCAAAAACTGTCCAAAATGGATTAGATTTCTCAATTTGAAACAAAAAGATGATGGGATAACCATGATAAACCATTTCTGTTACAGAGGTGCTATGAGGGCGGAAAGGAAGTGATTGTCATACCCAAAACAACTGCCTCTACAGATAACCAATGGCTTGGTCTGGCCAAGTATGCATGGTCAGGGTGAGTGAGATGGGGTTTTTTTCTACTAAAACTAACCTCGACAGCTGCTCCTCATCCATGCTCTGATCCCTGGTCTTGTTCTACAGCTATGTTTTAGAGTGTGCCAGCTGTGGCATCATCTACCGGAGTCGGCAGTACTGGATGGGCAACCAGGATCCAGAGAGCGGTGTTGTGCGGCCAGAGGTCAAGCATGTCTGGCAGGGGGTGAGTCGATTCTCTGTGTTATCATCCATGTGCTGACTCCATTGATGCTCACAGTGGTTAATGTTGTTTTTATGCTTGTAGACCGATGCCTTCCAGACAGACCATCAGAATGCAGCTCAGCGGGTTTTGGATGGAATGAATTACATAATCCAGTCAGTGTCAGAATATAGCTCAGGCCCAACCAAAGCTGTCACTGCCTGGCTCACAGACCAAGTGGCTCCGCCCTACTGGAAACCCAACGCTGAAATCAGTGTAAGTTGATATGCCCTATAGGAATATGTGAAAAAGAATTACAGCATGTGAAAGAAAATATCAAACGCATTAATTGCTTTTTCATGTGAATACAATTAAACATCATGTTGGTCTGTTCAGGAATGTCATGGTTGTAAGAGAGCGTTTGAGGAGGCGGAGAGGAAACACCACTGTCGGGCATGTGGGGAGGGTTTCTGTCAGGCCTGCTCCACTCACAGCATGCCAGTTCCCGAGAGAGGCTGGGGCGGCACCCCTGTACGAGTGTGTGACGCCTGTTACCGGCAGGGAGGACCTCAGAACACTGGACAGGGTGAGGGCATCGTTCTCTTTTAAAAGCACACTTCCTGTCCGCCCTCATAGCACCTCTGTAACAGAAATGGTTTATCATGGTTATCCCATCATCTTTTTGTTTCAAATTGAAAAATCTAATCCATTTTGGACAGTTTTTGCAAATAGATTAATCTGAAACCTCAATGAAATAAGTGGAGCATCTAGGGGACTAGTCTGAAAAGTACAGCATTTAATTTTATTGTTCAAAATGAACAAAATACATCATTAATCTTTCTCCTAAAACGTGTTTTTGTCTTACCTTGATTCCCTGTGGAAAGCCTATTATAAGCCTATTATATGTGCAGCAAGTATTTCTTACACTTAAAAAGTTTACAATCAAATTTGGGGTCAGTAAGATTTTTTTTGTGATTTTTCAGTAATATTATGGAACATCATTAGAAATTTACAAGAACTGTTTTCCATTTGTATCTATTTTAAAATGTAATCTATTCCTGTGATGCAAAGCTGGATTTTCATTACTCCAGTCTTCATTAGTGTCACACGATCCCTCAGAAATTATTCTAATATGCTGATTTGATGCTCAAGAAGCACTTATTATTATTATCATCGATGTTGAAAACAGCTTTTACTTAATATATTTGTGGAAACAGTGATACAAAATGTCAGGAGTCTTTGATGAGTAGAAAGTTCAAAAGAACAGCATTTATTCAAAACAGAAATCTTTTGTAACATTGCAAATGTCTTTACTGTCACTTTTGATCAATTTAACGTGTCCTTGCTGAATAGAAGTATTGATTTCTCACCCTAAATTTAATCATTTTAATAGTAGTGTATTCATCCAAGACTCCAGCTAAATCAGTGTTATAAAAATAGCTGTATTATTCTACACATAGAATAAATAAACCATTTAAAATATGGAATTTGGTACTCTTATTTAGTACAAAATGATGCATGTTTGAGTTTGTATTTTCTCATCTCGACTGATTCTGTGCTTATTTGTCTAATGTAGTGCTGTCTGCAGAGAATATTTAGCCTTGTCAAAAGAATATTCTCCCAGGGTTTTTGAGTTCAGTTGACTGAGTGTTGCATTTTCCAAAACAGTTTTTAATTGCTCAGTGTGGGATGTTGACAATACATTCTCTCCCTTCCAGTGGCCAGTACGGAACCCCGGATACTAGTTGCCCGCAGAGTGACGGAAGTAGCTCAGTCCACTCTCGACATGGTCTCCACCGCTGTGGACTACCCTCTCTGTGAGTGAATTTACACAAGAGAAATTGCTTATGCATTGTTGTGTGTGTGTGAGGTGACAAATGAGATTTTTTTGCACATCTTGTCCTTTAATACAGGTTTTGTAAAGGGAGTTGCGAGACCAGACTATTGGATCCCGGATCATGAGATCAGCCAGTGCCACTGCTGTGCTAAACCCTTCATCCCCAGCATGTCCAAGCACCACTGCAGGGCATGCGGGCAGGGAGTGTGCGGGAACTGCTCCAGTAAGACCAGGCCAGTGCCCTCTCGTGGCTGGGACCACCCAGTGCGAGTGTGTGACGGCTGCGCTGACCGCAGGGATTCCCTGTGACCTTGCTGTGCCTCTGTAGTGCTACTATAATACGCCCGGCATCTCTTGGTGCTCAGAACCAGGTTGTAGGCAGTTTTTCAAGCCTTCATGGATGGGGGAAATAAGAAACTCACTGCAGTTCTGCATAGACAAACACTCAGGCTCTATAAAGCATTAGCTGCAGAAATAGAGAGTGATGATGTCTGGGTTCAATTTAAAAGAGTTAACTAAGAAATGTCGCATAATGAAAATAATTTGTAGAAATATCAAGGTTCATTATATGACAGTTAAGCATATTTTATCCACAAATGCTCATTACTGTAATACAAAAAAACACTCACACACATATATTATATAAAGAAATGCATTTTTTATTTTGCCTAGGGTGAATAAGCATCTCAGAAATTTCCTCAAATTTTTTTGTAAGATTTGCTGCAGAAATTAAAAAGAAGAGAAAATATACATTTTAATGGATTTTGATAGATTCTATAGTGCTGGCACTGAAAACAAATCGCCTTCTAAAAGTGCATTTCTGTGTTTAACATCTCATCATTTCTGTCCCAAAGATAAGATAACAGACTAAACGGCGAGAGCAGTAAATATTAACATATCTGATGTTTAGTAAATTATCATTTGAGATACGTAGGAGATGTTTTACACTAATAAAGAAGCGTTTGAATACGATATAGCAGCCTTTTATTGGTGGAGTTTTATACTTTATTCCTGGAACAGAGCAAGAGTAGACAAGGTAAGCCTAGAATTCACATTCCAGTCAAGACAATGCAATGAATCCTGTGAACTCATATCTCATTGAATTTTTTATCAATATAGTTCTTTACTAATTTTTCCGAAATAACGACTGCACTTTATCTAATTTTTACTATCAAATTTCTTTAGTTGAGAGCCATATAATATAATACATAAGATACAAACTGTACATATATAATGAAAGTGGAATTATTCAGCAGCATTTGCAGTGCCTAATGGATCTCAACAACTATCTTGCATATAAACAGTAGTGGCGTAGAACAGGATGGCTGTGTGTGACATTTAATGCAGACTTACACTAAACTGAATGTTGAGTGGTTTCCTAACATGTACAGCTCATAAAATGGCTTATATAAGGCACTTTATTCATATTTGATTTGAGAGAATCCATGTGGAATTTTTTTAACTATGTTTTTTTGTTTTACAATTCTGCTTCTACTCTGTATTTTTATCTGGAATAGAACATTGTAGTCTTCTATGAAGGGATTTAACCAAAGCAATGGTTTTAATTGCATATTAAAACCACCTGCATTTGACAATCCTGCAAACTTTGTTTTGATTGGCCGGTACTGTTTTTCAGGCTTCTACTCAGAACATTAAAGCTATTTGAAAACAGCCTGCCTTCTTGATTCACAAGATAACAGACATCTATGGGAAATAATAGGCTATAGCTCTGTAAGTGCACAAATGCGAGGTCATCTGGAGGTAGAGGTCTAGATTTCCTGCTCAAGGCCCTTAAATAGATGAAACGGACTCAAAATCTGATTTAAATCATGGAGGTTGTACTCACATTTCCTCCATTTATAACATTACTGTCTGGCAAACAGCCTGCCTCATCACATCTACAGGAAACTGTCTTGATGGGTTTACTGATTATGTCAGCACTTGTGTGAGTATCATTATGAACATCACATACAGGCCTGGTTTCACAGACAGGGTTTATATTAAGCCAGGATTAGGCCTCGGTTCAATTAGGGCGTTTAAGTAGCTTTTTAAACTTGCCTTTGAAAAAAAATAAATTACTGGTGTGCATCTTGAGACAAAACAATGGCACTGACATATTTTAAGGTATGTCAGTGCAAGTTGCTTTCATTTAAAACGCTTCAGACATGCATTTTAGTCCGGGACTAGCTCAAGCCTTGTCTGTGAAACCGGGAGAAAGTGTATTGTGAAGAAGTGCTACTGAAGGGACATCAAATGTGTGAAAAGGTCCGAAAAGACTATTGGGACCATGGTATTACCAAATAACTAGCCCAATTCTCTCTCATGTCATTCCTTTTAGTGATTATAAATATGGCTTTTTCAATTGCTGGTACTGATAGAGAGCAGGGCTGATAACATGCCAAAATATAGTGTATATATTTTTAATCTTACTTACCCCAAACTTTTGAATTGTAGTGTATCAAAATATTTAGCAGCAAACTGTTTTCAACATATACTAGTTTCATAATATTAAGAAAATGTACAGGCACTTATTTAAATGTACATAAAATCACTGCAATTAGCTTAAGATGTATATCACACATATATGTATACACACATTTATATATGTATTTATAAATACGTTTATGTGTGTGTGTGTGTGTAGCTAATTATTTATATATACATATATATTTATTTATATATATATATATATATATATATATATTGCTAATTATTTAATTGTTCCTCGAACAAGTTAAACATTTTAATCGATTCACATTATTCAAACTAGTAAAACTAAAGCTATGAAATAATAGAAATCATTTTTGGTAAATGAAATAAAACAAAATTTCAATATTAGATTTAAAACAAATTAAACTAAAAAGAAACTTAAACTTATTTCAGTTAGTTGCCAAGGTAACATTTCTAACGTTTTTAACGTTTTAGTTTAATACCAATATTAGGCCAAAATTTCAATTTTATGAAATAAAAATAAAGCTAAATAGAAATATTCAAAAAATAATTATAAAAAATGATAAAAGCACATAAGACAATTACTAAAACGCAACTAAAATGAACTTTTTTTTAATTATATAAATAATACTAAATGAACACCATGGTTTTGGATTTTTTTCTTTTTTTTTTTAACAAAGTTGCACTACCACACTGTAACCAGCAGAGGGAGGCAACACCACTCCCAACAAGAGACCCCGTTCAAGATTTTGGGATTCTAGGGTCTTGCATATTGGACGTTTTTATTATATTTGTAACGTAGTAGTTCATATACAAACAAACAAAATACAAAAAAAACTAACTGGGGTATCAAAAGTCAGCTAAATAAAAAAGAGACTGCACTTGACGACAGGCCTCAGTCATTGCCAAAAAAAACCTGTAATTTCTAGCTCTGGTTCATTTAAGGACAAAAGGATCAAAAGAGCCCTGTTACCTGACTCCACTGTTTAATCCACGGGTCTTTTATAATTTGTATTGTTCTTGTACAGGAAGATAAAGATTACGCACAAAGACAAAGATCTAACATAAATACTTCATCAAATTACTTTATGAAACTATTAAGTCTTGTTGCACAAGAAATGATGTAATGGACTGCTTATAACACATTTCACAACCCATATCTTCATCACGACAGTTAAAATATATATATATATATATATAACACCTAGTAAATTCCACCATTTATATAGACTATTGTAATATTTTGTTGGAAATCAATATACAAAACTGACACACATTTGTGTAATTGTAACTTTTAAATGACTGAGAAAAAGCCCTGTCTGACGACATTTCGTTGAAATACTACGCACATGGCACCCTTTAGCGTGAATATAACACGCAGAACCCAAGGCGTCATACACGTTACTGGCATCCTTTAGCGTCAATATGAGACGCAGACCCTACCCCAGACCTAAACCTACCCATAACAGTGCGTGTTATATTCACGCTAAAGGGTGCCATGTGCGTAGTATTTCAACGAAATGTTATATGGCGTCACCTATATGACGCCAAAGGATGAGAATGTGTTGGTCTGACAGCTAATAGCCCCAGTCTAGTCAATTCTGCAGGTCTACTATTGTTGCCTCTTTGCTGTTTAATGCCATTGAGGTCCAATGCTCTATTTTAGTCTGAAGCATTAGATATTTCACTATGAGCTTTATCAGTCTGTTAAAATGCATAACATCATTTGCATGGACAGCTTATAGTCCACTGCAGGACGCTGTCATGCACTTTGTGTTTATCTCTTCCTGCAGATGCACATGCTTGGACCATGAACTCCAGCCAGTCAGAAAAATGAGCAGCACATGCCAGTTCAGCAGAAAGAATTATTGTAATTCCTTAATCCCCATTTCACACATTCTTATTTTAACTGGAACCGCCCTGATAGGCTGTTTTATTTATTTTTTGGTTGAAACTTAATCTGGGCCATTGTTTTATTTGAATTCACAAATAATAGCCAGTTTATGTATTGAAACACATAAACTGCTGTGGATGCATCACTGCAGAATATTGTATAGCCTACTCACCAGTGTCCTCTCTTATACTGGAAGCCTTTGCCAGTGTAATTTATATCCGGGGGCCCAGTGTTTTCCTGCTTACTGGCTCTTTTTGGATGATTATTAATGGCTGTTTTGCTTCCGTATCCATGGCAACTGATCCTGCACTGTCCCGTTTTCCCCTCATCCATACAGTCACTCTGTGGGTGCAGGACAATAAGAGGAGAGTCGTCACCGCAGAAAGCATTCTCTCATTTTCTCACGCTTCCCCGGGGAAGACATGGCGCCTTGCTTGGGTCCATTTAACAATTCGGATTCTCAGCTTCTACTGAGACACAAAGAAGGCACTAATAACCAGTTCTGCCAGTTTGTGTGGTTGATGGTCTGCGACTTTTTTAATTTCAAAAAGTCCATTCATAAATCTTTTCAAGGGGCTCTATTAGATTGTTAGAACAAGAGGAACCATACAGTATAGTGAAACAATGGAGCAGCACATCAACAATATTCTGTTTTGTTTCATAGCCCTGGACCATTACGAAGACATTAATGTGGTGATGGAGATTAATTTTACATATTTCTATAGAAAATGTATATAAAATTTAAATTTAAAATGATATAAAATGGTATTTTTTATGTCATTAAACTGAAAATAAATTAATTAATAAAGCAAATTAAAATTATACGGATATGATATTTATTTAAAAAATATCATTAATGTAAGTATTTATACATCATGGTATGCATAAATACTAAAATTAACATCACTGCATCATATATACACACACATATAGTATGGTAGTATTTGTGTGTGTGTCGGTGTATGTATGTATAATTTCTATGTGTGTGTGTGTAACAAATTATACTGTATGTAACAAATTATACTGTATGTGTGTGTGTGTATATATATATGTACATACACAATTTATTCATAATTTTCATCTTCATATGTATGATGTACATGAATTAAGCCACCAACAAAAGAACCATTGTTTATATTATATTATTTATTTATCTTTTATACAATGTAATTACAATAGAAATATGTAGGTTTAAATACAAAATTCTGTAAATAAAGAATAAAAATAAACTCCACTGGTTTGTTATCACTACACTTAAGTTTACAATCAACTTTATGAGGTAATTTAGTTCCCTGGTTTTGAAAAACCTAGATTTTGTCAAGGGGGAGAGAGCGGACAAAAAGACCAGGGCAATTGAGTAGAATTAATTCATCCATGTAACGCCATACAACATACCGCTTGGCCGAATTACAAATGCATTGTCTTTGGAAAAAGAACTATTTTTAGATTCATTGTGCCACACAATAGACCTGCTTGACCCTGTAATAAACAATTGATAAGAAAACCGGGAGGTCAATTTAAAACACATTACGGTCAAAATGGCCTTTTCGAAACAGGAGTTAAAAACATTGTGCCTGCCTTGAATGTCCACTGCTATTACGTCTCCACAGGAAGAGTGTGTGTGGAGTTCACCTCACCGAGCACAGTGTGCAGTCTGACTTTGATCATCTAGCTTTGAACCTTGCAGGCTCAACACACTCCAGAAAGATCATTCAACATCTTATTCGTACACTCTGATGAAAATAAATATACAAACATTGAGCATTTCTAAAGAGGTCATATGATGCTTTTAAATGATTTCCCTTTCCTTTAGTGTGTAGCATGTATAAGATCTGCAAAGTTACAAAGTCTCCTGCAAAGGGATTTATCGAATCGACCTCAATCGAAGCCCAGATATTACTTCCGGGAATGTCTCTGTCACAACGTGGCATATTCCCATAACGCCTGTCCAAAAGGCATACGCAAAAAAAGAAGGCAAGGCTTCAGTGAATTCTAGTGTTGTGATCATGTCGTGTGTTTGGATGCGGAAACAAATTCCCTTTGTTTGGCCAGCAGAAAACAGATGAAATAAGGAATAAGTGGTTAAGATTTATTTATAACACTGTTCCTTCCTGCACAATAAAACCCAAAAGTTAGCTTGTGTACAGCGCATTTTACGGAGGACAGCTTCTTGAACCTGGGATTTCAGACAGACTGGGAATAGAGGTACTGCAATAGTTTACGCATTGTGAAAAATAATGCGTTTTTTTAACATTACATTACACACAATAAACAAAATAAACGTTTAAAATAGCATCATATGACCTCTTTAAATGATAAATGTGCCTAAACGCACAACGTTGGAGAAAATATGAACCTCATGAATGAGAAGGATTTGATTTTAGAATAATTGCATGAGATCCTATTGTGTAGAGAGTGCTTGACATTATTCACCTGCAATTAAAGACAATTATTCCCTTTCTTAGACCAGCGAGAGTGAAACAGTGGTGATAAGAAACGAAAGCCAAGCTAATATGCATATTCAATGTTTTAAGATACTGTAATATGGGATATTTTAAACATGCATGACCGGTACCATTTGACTCTGTCCCTTTAAGAGTCTGTGTAGTCGTTCCATTGCTTGCATAAACGGACACTATAACCTCCCTCTTCAACCCTTTTCTAATATTTTCTAATACAGTTGCTCTTCACAACTACCCATTCTAACCCATTTTGTCATTTTAATGCCCTAGAATGGTCAAAAAGTTTTTGAAATACATTCTTAATAACTGAGAAGCCCCATGAATCCTATTGAAGGTAATGTTATTGTCGACTTAAACATATTATAAAAAATAAAACTATAACCCTCAGTAAAGTTGTTCCAGAAAAGGTTCCATGTCAATAAACAAAGGTCAAGGTTACTACACTGGCATTTTGGTCTAGTTTTTCATTGCATTATGGGTGTCAATAATATAGTCAGGGTTGGAATGTGCCTGTTGGTGGAACTTTTCGTGTCCACTTGGTTCAGAGCTGATGCTTCAATGGTCACGACTGAAATTAATGAAACTAAACGGCCACAGAAGGGGCAATAAATAAAAGTAAACTGAAAGCATGCTATTTACATCACAAAGTAAACTCATTGTTCAACAAGATACTGTAGCTCAAATTATTTTTAAATCTATCATTTGGTGACTCAGTTTTCAAGTAGCCAATTTATTCCACTTGTAATTTTTCACCCTGTTCAATAAAAATAAATAAGGGAAACCCAAGAATAATTCAAATCTGATTTAAAATAACCATTATAATCAAATAAAAACAATAAATAGATTCTGACCATCCCCTAATTTCAGCATTTCCTTTAGGTAAAAGGGTCATTACTGGTGAAAGTAATGTGCAGGTTTCTCTTTTAAGCTGTCCCGTAAGTGCCGAACCATTGTGACTGTCTTTCCGTTCTCCAAATCTTGAGTCTGACTCTCGAAATGACACAAAATGCAACCGGATGATCTTTTACAACAACCAATACCCTCAAACAGACCAGGAGCGTAAGAAAACCCTTTCGGAGACCAAAAAAAGGGAAGGGGAAAGGGTTATGAAACAGTTCCAAACTTTCAGTCTCCTTACAATTATAGTTCAATCTCAAAAGTCTTTTGTAAGTCATTCGAAAAAGGGTTTTGCGCCTTCGGTTGCGATTTGGACTCCAGAGCAGCCCACTTTGCCTCAAAATGCTCTGCTTCCTGGGAACTTCCTGTGGGATTCGGATTCAGACTCTCCATCGGCCAACTAGTACCGCTTTTTATGGTACTACCGTTTTGAGTAACACTGGTGGTCGCGGCCGTTGATGGAAAGGAGTTGTGTGGGTGGCCGTTGATGGTTGGAGGAGAGGCGAATGTGGTGGTTGGGAAACCTCCGGGCAGGGTGGGGAAAGCCGAATGTTGGCCACCACCAAGCGTACCTGTCTTAGGCCCCATCCCGATTCCCATCGCTGCTCCGCCCCCTGTACTGACTGCAGAGCAGAATGCATTAGCTACCATTTGCGACGGTGTGATGCCCACCACGGGCACACTGGCATTGGGATAGGTCATGCTGTTGGCCAGAGTGGGCATATATGCCTGCATAGGTACAAAAGCCGGTTGAAGAGGCTGTTGGGCGAACATGCCAACAGGTGCGGGAGTGACGTCAAAGGCCATTGGGAATGGCTGCATTGAGGTGGGGAGGGAACCAGGTGCGATGGGAATAGTGGACATGGGTGGAGGTTGCTGAGTGGGTGGTGGCGGTAGGGTAGGTGGAGTCTGCTGCTGGGCTTTAACCGCTTTAGCAACCTCTTCCAGCCAGCGCTCTGCTTCAGATGGGGTCCGTTTGTGGCCCCCCTGAGGCACGGGAGCAGGAGACTGGACAGCAGGCTCTGTTTGAACCCATGAGCTTGTAGCTGGGGAACAACGGGAGGGGTGAGAACGTTAAAATATGCCTGTGCGATTCAAGTCAAGTCATCTTTGTTTATATAGCATTTTAAACAATCCAGATTGTTTTAACCTGTTAACAGTAAGCCCACTTTTTTAGCATAGACGTGAAAATGTACTATGCAAACTCGAGGCCAATTCACACCGCACCGACAGACAGCAATAAACATTTCGTCGGGTTTTGTCGAATCGTGTGTTACCCCTTGCTTGATTTCGCGGATCGAACATGCTGGATTGCCGTTAGAATGTCTGAGAAGTGACGTGCAGTAATCTGGTGACTGTCGGATTCTGTCAATGCAGTGTGAATTGGCCTTTAACTGCTTGGAATAAAGACCTAAGGTTGGAAGACACTCAGTGGATAATTGCTCAAGTAAAAGCACTTGAAAAAAAAAGAAAGTGTAAAAAAGTTAAAGGTTACTGTAAAGCAGATGTACTGCACTTAACATTTGATATTTTATACAAAAAATGGATATTTTACAGAATAACTTGGACTCTAAAACTGTTAGAAAATCAAAGCCGTATGTCTAACCAAGTTGTGTTCCAAGTTGATATCACAAAAATTGAGGTTCCTGTGAGATTTTGTTTAGGTGCTATACCAAAAAAGCAAATGGGTGACACACACGCTCCATTTAATTTTTTGATGAATTCTCCAGTCACAAAACTGACAAAACTTCTATCGCAAGACAGTGGCCAAATATATAACATTGAGTCTCAGACCTTTTCAACGATATGTGATTTGTCAAGATTAGAAAAAGTTTTGATTACAAAATAGTGGAGTAAATTTAGTAAAATTTGAAACATGAGACCGCCCATTAGGGGGAGGAATCTACCAAGAGCAAATTAGTCTCTGGTTTATGACCAACTGTCCCACTACCAGGACATTGACAGTTAAGCAGCTTCACAGTAATTAACAGGACAATAACAGAAATACAGAAATATGAGACAAACTCTCAAAGTGTTGATTCATTTCAGTAACAGTGTAAAGTTAATCAATTCTAAAATTAGTTTAATTCAGCTATAAGCAGCTCTACAGAAGACAATAGTGTCGTTTCAGCTCAATTCAGTTCAGTGTTGATTCAATTTAGTGTCGATGTTGCAAAATTCGTCAATTATGAAATTATTAAATGAATTCGATTCATCTATAAAGCAGCTCTACAGAAGACAATAGTGTCGTCGTCCAGCTCAAGTTTTGTTCTCATCCGATAGAGTCAGTGTAGTCAGATCGATACTATTACTGAATATCAAGTGTCTTTTAAACCCCTGTTCACAATATATCTATATGTTTGTGTTGGGTAATGCAGTCTGTGTTACCTTGCAGTGGAGCAGGTGGAGGGGGAATGGCAGGTGGAGCGCTGCAAACTGGCAAGCAGTTGCTGATAGCTTTGGCACACAGGTCCTCAGATGGTTTGGTGAAAGAGTTGTTGATTTGGCTGCACAGAGCGTTTATGCTGTCTGCCTCTCCTGCCAAAGACAGATCCATCTCTGGAACTAACACAAACCAATAGGGAAGCTCAATCACACTTGTGTGGCTCATATTGGTGGGCCATGCATGCAGTTTATGGGACTTTGCTAGCTACAGTAACCTGGATCTATGATATAAGATTCCGTTTTGAATTAAATTAATACTTTTATCCAGCAAGGATGCATTATACTAATCAAAAGTGACAGTAAAGACATTTATGATGTTACAAAAGATTTCTATTTCAAATAAAGGCTGTTCTTTTGAACTTTCTATTCATCAAAGAATCCTGAAAAAAACTTTATCACGGTTTCCACAAAAATATTAAGCATAATGATAATAATAAGAAATGTTTATTGAGCACCAAATCAGCATATTAAAATGATCAAATATATTTATAAAAAATTATATAAATAATATAAAAATCATGTGACACTGAAGACTGGAGTAATGACGCTAAAAATTCGACTTTGTATCACAGGAAAAAATATAATAGAAAACATTTATTTTAAATTGTAACAACATTTCACAATATTACTATTTGTACTGTATTTTAATCAAATAAATACAGCCTTGGTAAAACTTATTTCAAAAACATTTAAAAAAGAATCTCACCAACTTTTATTTATACGTATAGGTTCGTAATATGTGATATGATAATTTTTGAATCTAGAATAAATTCATTTGTGGCTTTTAAAACTATTAATGTAATTTGTAGTGTGTTATAATGCTATTTTTAATACAGTTTAGTATAGAATTATAATATCAACCATATATCGGTTATCAGCCCTAGCCTGACAATAATTATCAGATTATCAGGATCACACAGAATTTTAAAATAGGATCTCTAATAAAAAAAAAGAAAAATCAGAAACAACAATGCAGTTAAAAAAAAAACATTTTAATGGTCTGCTTTGTATTACAGTCCTCCTCGTATCAAATTTGTTTGCACAACTACAAAGCAACATTTTTATGAAGAAAAACAATTGTACTACATACAATATGATGTCCTCAAACTTCCTACATATTTATTATTTGTATATGTATTATTCATGGATAAACCCTGTCTTATATGGCATTGTTAAAAACATGACCCATAATTCCCCTTTTAGAATTTAGTCTAGGGGATTAAGCCAGAGAACAGAATCAGCAGCATAATTCGGTGCAAAACATGTTATCTACAGAGCACTACATGAAAAAGGATCAATGGAAGGGTCTCTCATATAGATAACAGATCTAGGTAAATGCAGCAGTTTATGGTCTAGAGAATACACGCTCAAATGAGTTTATGGGTACAATCAATGGAAATAGAGTTTTCTGAGATGGTCCTTTATACATGTTTGTATGCAGGCTCAGCATTAGATACATTTTAAATGCCAAAGTCCACTAGTTGATTATACAGAGTGCACAAAGTTAAGGCGGTAAACATTACTGGGTCAACATTACAGTTCCATTACACTTACACAGCTTGAGTACACAAAAAGAACTCACCTGGGTTCTTGGTCTGGAAGTCCGTCTTGCGCTGAAGGGTTGATGGGAGATCGTTCAAGCGTAGAGAGAGCTGCCGTTTGAAAGGTGAGTTCTTCTGGCTAAGTTGAGGGAAGCCTCGGAAGGAGCCCTGCCGCACCAGCTGCTCGATAGGAGCGTGTCGGCGCGGGATGGCGTGAGGCCCGCCTGGCTCCGCCCTCTCCCCAGGTGAAGCCGCTCCCTCTGGAGGAGAAGCATTTCCAGGTGGCATTCCAGAAATATAACATGCTTCTGCAGAGAGGGAGATTCATTAATCAGCATCATCACAAAGAAAGCCTTTGGCGTTTGAGCGTAATGGAAACTAGACTGACCTTTCTTTTTGTCCTGCAGCTGTTTCATGATGTCCTCCCGGTCACTTTGCTGTCCAGCAGAGGAGATGCGGAAGGAGCCTTCCCTCACGAACGAGGTGCGGCTTGCATCGAAGGAAGCCGTGACCCCGCACTCCTTCTCTCTGCGTTGCTTCCGCTCAAGGCAAGCAGCAAAGGCGCATCCAACTGCATGACTCAAACGTTCACCCTATAGTTGCATTAGCATTGTGGAAACACCCCAAAATATTTTTTATTAGCTTTTTTGTCTTGTTGTTCAAGAAAAAACTTGAGAAGCTAAGATAAATTTAAGATAAAAACATATTATATATAATATTAAAAATAATGTTTAATAAAACATAATACAAATACATAATTTAAAGATATTTAAAACAGTATATCTTAAATTAAGCAATTTTTTCACATATGTCTTAGAATAATAATGAAAATGCTGTGGATGATGCTACATCACGGGGTAACACTTTAGTTTAGGGTCCAATTCTCACTATTAACTAGTTGCTTATTAGCATGCATAGTAAAGCGAGCCGAGTCGAGTCATACCACGCAGTGGAAAAGAGCCTTTACTAGGATATCGGCTGATTAGTATTACTTATAAAGCACATATTAATGCCTTATTCTGCATGATATTCTACATCCCTTAATCCTACCCAATACCTAAACTTAACAACTACCTAGAAATAAGCAGTAATTAGGAATTTATTGAGGCAAAAATCATAGTTAATAGTTGGTTAATAGTGAGAATTGGACCCTAATTTGTAAAGAATGACCCATCACAGCAACACTGTACACTTAAATTTTTTTTTTTTAAATTACCTTAAAAAACAATACAAATATATATTTAAAGATATTTAATTCTTCTGACAGTATATAAGATGTCTGACACTATATCTTAAATTAAGGTTATTTTTTTCCAATATTTGTAGATTTAGGCTTAAAACATGAAAAAAACTATTAGTCAATGAGGTAAAGAAAAATCAACTTAATTCAAGAAATGAAGATATGCTTTGTAAGTATGTAACTATGTATCATGTTTTAAAGGTTGTTTAAACTTTTTAACTTTGGAATGAAAGTTACTGATTGGGAAAATTATATTTTACAGAGTATCACAATGGGGTTAGTCTGTGTTTACATATCCAGTTCTGTTATTGTTTTTTATGGGGTGGCCAGAAACGTGATATGGTCACAAAAGTTGTTTTTGTCTAGAATAGTATGGGATCCTAATCAAAACTCCATTCCATTCTAGTCCTTAATGTGTTTTTCTCTGTGCCCCAAGTGCAGATAACAGTCTCTAAGCGGTTATGCCGCTTGAGATAACACTGCAATAATCCCTATCTTAATCCCACTTTGCAGGGAACAGAGGCTGAAGAATTAATCTCCGCTGGGTTCTCCTCACCGAGTCCTTCAAGGCCATGAAGCAGTGGCACATCCAGCGGCGAGTCGTTCCATCACGGCAGATGTAGGAGAATGCCTTATCGTAATTACGGTCAGGTGCGCAGAAAGACACTTTCTCAATGGTCTGGTCAACAATGAGGTCCTACAGAGAAAATAAGAAAGGGACAGATTGGTTGTTGTTTGTGGCATTTAAAAAAACATTTAGTAAAATATACAGATTAAAACAAAGTAAAGGATTTTGAAAGTGCCCAGTTCCAATTTATCAATATTTATTAAAAAATGTTTTATTGTATTGGGTTTCATATTATTACTGTACATATTATAATTATGCAGACAATCGGCCTTATTCATGATTCATGAAAGTGATAGTTCTTTTAAAATGTTAGAACCAAACATCCAAACATTTTGTGTTCTTTTAGGCAAACTGATGACTGCATTGATAACACTATAATCATTTTTCATGAGTTTGTTTGCCCACATAGGTAATCTTTAACTATTGAGGTTAAATGTATTTGGCTTGCTCTCCGCAGAGGAAGGGCTCCAGGAAGCGGCTTCAACTCAAGCTCTGATATAGCTCCAGGTGCTTATATACTGGTGCTTGGAAGATATTTTTGGAAGGGTGCTTGTCGTATTTTTCTGGTCGCAGAGAGTTGAAAAATGTTCAACTTTGTATAAAATACAGTGCTCGTATGGAAGTAAAATAATGACAAATGTCTTTGAAACAAAAAGCTTGTTGAATTGCACTACTTGAAAAAATATACATTGCATTAACCCTGCTTGCCTTTTAATGCATTGTATTTTTAGGGCTTGCATTTTTATGGGCTGAAATTCAACATGGTTGTATTTTATTTTACAACATTTTATTTCGCTTTACAAATTCGCTTCCACAAATTCAGTGGTTCAAATTCGACAGAAAATTCAACATTTGACATCCGGGAACGACAGGGATATCAGTAGATTGCCGATTGATAATCTCCATGGCTGTTAGTCGACCTCACCAGCAGGGGGTGCAAGCGGCTGTTGACGAAGACCAGGGCAACAGTTAGAGAGTCATTCATTCATAAAATCGGATTTACAGAAATGGAGCAAGCGGTAAGTATTTGTGATGATTATCAGGACCCGTTTATATGTGAAAAAGCTGATAAAGAGTTTACATTTAAGTCTTCACAGTTAGTACATGTAAACAGCTTTCTCTACCGTGAATGAATATAATGTTATTCCCCGATGCTAATGTACAGATAAAACGTTAAATCTGAGGTAGTAGACATATTTCTCTCGGTTGTTTAGTTTTCTTAACTTTATATTGTGGCGCTTTGCTGCAAAACTGGGGATTCCCTCAATACATCATTCTCCAGGATTCTCCTGCAGTCAGGACACTTAACGCTGAATGGACTAAAACAGTGATATTGTCACGAATCAAGCCTTTGTGTTTCTTCCCACTCGACACCAGAGGGCTCCATCTACCGAATATTAACATTACACATTTTCACTCCATTTCCCATAACCCCATGCCTGATACTGATTATCTGCACACCTGCCACTCATCAACCGGACTATTTATACAGGCCTTCACCACTGCTTCAGTGCAAAGTCTTGTTTCACCCTGGTTGACATTTCTGAGCATTTTCCCTGTTTATACTGATTCCTCGGTTACTGATCCTGGACAGTTCTACTCGTTTCGACCCTCTGCTTCATGCCATAGTGACCCTGCTTCGTTTGACTGGATTTATGCTTTACTGTTTGCTGCCTGCCCTGATTATCTGCCTGCCCATCGACTACGATTGTGGACTGCCTCAGATATATCCTTTGCTGGTGATTGACCCCTGCCTGATTGTGTTACGTTTACTATTACCAATACCAATAAAGATACTGCAAATGGATCTCAATGACAATGCCTCATCATTACAGATATAAAAGACCAAACTTGCACCTTATTGGGGATGCAGGCTATACTAGATATAGGAACAGGCAAGCGGACTTAAGAATATGAACGTAACGCGCTAAATTTCACGCTAAGCGATTCTCAGTGAAATACTGGCATAAAGCTGGCTTGACACTATTCGATATTCGCATATTTAGGGACAGTCTCTAAAGTTACACACGACATTATAACTTGCAGTCATAAAACCAACTGTAAATTGTTCATGTAGGCCTATGTGTCAGGCATGATGCTTGAGATAATACTCTTTAGATAATTAATGTTAAAATAAATATGAGATTATGCGGTAGGCCTACTGAAAAAATAGCAATATTTACATATGATTTGACAGTTTATTTGATTAAATATCAAAAATCTAAAAGGTGTGTGCATCATGGCTGACACCTACATGAACACTTTACAGTTGGTTTTAGGACTGTAAGTCATTCTCTTCAAATGCTATTGAAGTTAGAAACATGTGTAACAATGTCGTATGTAACTTTAGAGACGGTCCCTAAATGTGTGAATATCGAATATGCAGTGTCAAGCCAACTTATGCCAGTATTTCACCGGGAATCGCTCAGCGCGTTACGTTCATATTCTGAGTCAGCTTGCCTGTTCCTATATCTAGTATAGCTTACATCCCCAATAAGGTGCAAGTTTGGTCTTTTATATCACTTTATTAGTCCATTCAGCGTTAAGTGTCCTGACCGCAGGTGAATCCGGAGAATGACATATTGAGGGAATCCCCAGTTTTGCAGCAAAGCGCCACGATATAAAGTTAAGAAAACTGAACAACCGAGAGAAATATATGTCTACTACCTCAGATTTAACATTTTATCTGTACATTAGCATCAGGGAATAACATTATATTCATTCACGGTAGAGAAAGCTGTTTACATGTACTAACTGTGAAGACTTAAATGTAAACACAGCTTTTGTGTCTTTATCAGCTTTTTCATATATAAACTGGTCCTGATAATCATCACAAATACTTACCGCTTGCTCCATTTCTGTAAATCCGTTTTTATGAATGAATGACTCTCTAACTGTTGCTCTGGTCTTCGTCAACAGCCGCTTGCACCCCCTGCTGGTGAGGTCGACTAAGGCCCTGTCCCAAATGGCGCACTTCATGCGGACTTTCGGTCTCGTGGACTTAAATTGCGCGTGCTCGCCGAGTCTACGAGTCCGTAGGCCGTCATATTTAGCATTTTAACGCTCTGAAGTGTGCTCAGCAGCGCCCCCTTTGTACCCTTGAAGCAGTCTTCCGCGAAGCCCGCATAAATGCAGGCTCCACGCACTTTAACTACCCAGGAATCCTTGCGAAAGGCCAATCAGACAACGGATGGGAGGAGATTTCTCTCACGGACAATTGTTAACATGGCTGAGAAGAAAATATTTAAGTGTAATTATCATTACGGTTTTTATGACAAGTTTATACAAACATTATGATCATCGACCAGTAGTTGATGTCTCAAACATAGGCTAATAATAGCGAGCTGAATAATACGATCGCATTATGATTCATTAAATAAATAGAACAGAATGTCAGGGCTTTACTGAGTCATATGTAAACACAACAACAATAGGCAGCATATTTCCCCGAACCTGTAGCTCCTGTCCATAATAACAATCAGACCGTCTTCCTGTTTCCGGCGTGACGATCGAGTCTGTTCCAAAAATACCTCTCAATGCGCCCTCGCGGACTCGCGCTAAGGGCCCTATAGGTCTGCACTACATGACGTCACCGAAGTGTGGACTCTGAGGAAGTCCACAAGTCCGGAGTGTGCCATTTGGGACAGGGCCTAACAGCCATGGAGATTATCAATCGGCAATCTACTGATATGATATCCCTGTCGTTCCCGGATGTCAAATGTTGAATTTTCTGTCGAATTTGAACCACTGAATTTGTGGAAGCGAATTTGTAAAGCGAAATAAAATGGACCAAAAATTGTCTGTCGAATATTATAGGTTGTATTATTAAACAGAATTAATATTTTGGAAGTTAAATCTGAAAGGTGAATAATGGATTATTGAATTTTTAATAATGAAAACGTGTGTGAAATGTTTTGAATTGAAATATTCACAGCTTAAATATACAACCATGTTGAATTTCAGCCTATAAAGATGCAAGTCCTAAAAATACAATGCATTAAAATGCAAGCAGGGTTACTGCAATGTATATTTTTTTCAAGTAGTGCAATTCAACAAGTTTTTTGTTTCAAAAACATTTGTCATTATTTGTTTCATACACAGTCACTTCACTTTTTACCCAGCTGTCCAATCACAGTGGAGGAGGGGTGGGACAAATACCACACCGACCAACCAAATACCACATCTTGTACAACCATAACGTCTTTTTTGTCCTACCCTGATTCACTATGGTAAGCCTATCATATAAATTATATAAATGTTTATATTTTAGATCTGTTGGTATGAATTTTGTGGGAAATTGAGTACATTGCATATGCATATTGCATATCTGTAAATAAAGTTGCTCCGGCTACTTTGGCGTGTGTATTGTGTGTGAGTGACAGAGGTTAGTTGTCACAACAAGCAAGAAAGGCTGACATAGAGCCTAAATTTCGCCCCTCCGGGGAATCACCCGTTTAAAAAAAAACTCAGAACAGAGGAGAGTCTGCTGACAGAAAGAGAACGTGACAGAGCTCGTAATAATACAAAAATCAACATTGGCATGGCTTTTCGGAAATGGCGAGACCTGAGGGATTAGAAATGTAAAAGTGATGAGGAGATGGCGTTTTTATAACTGAACAGGTGAGAAAGGTCTTTTATTGAACAGATAAATTGCTATATGCAGCTCTCTAACAGAGTTAATTGTAAAGCATTATCTGTTGTGAAGGCTCATTTCATTACGGGTTGTTGTAGAGCTGTGCTGGAATTTGTTTTCAAGGAAGTACCATGTCAGAGCCAAAGCACAACCAAAACAATGTTCTTCCACAAAATGCATGCAGTTTTGTTTTTTCTAAACTGCTAGAGAGCCAAAAATTTACATAGTGTACCTTCAGCTATAAAATCTGAGGTTTATGAAGCGTTTGTGAATCCGGAGGAGAGTTTTCAGGAAGTCAATTAAGTCAATTTTTTTTTTGTGGGGCATAATGAAAAAGTGGTATAACTGTACTGAGATTGTGATAAAGTGATTTCAGTTTTAAAATATTATTTGAATAAATGTATCCAAAAGATTGGTCTTCCTTATTTATTCTTATTTGTCCATGACCCAACCACATTGTACTGTTTTTGTCCTTTTGATTGTTCTAACATGACTAAAGCTTTTTGTGTAGCCTGGACCTCCCACTGTAACAGTGGCTAGTGTTTCCTTTTAAGGGGGCCACACTAAATTCATAATGCATGAGCTGAACAGTGTAGAAGTGGTAGGTGAGGGGTCAGTGAAGCAGAGGAGGACTGGGTTGAGGTGAGGGGCCCATTCATTGTTAGCCAATTACTGACCGAAGGGGCCCTGGTCAGAGCTCTAAAAGCTTCATCATGGATGAATGTGTCCTGGGGGGGATAACTGGGGTTTACAGTGGACTGGAAGAACTTTATGGATTCATGAATGCTGACTCATCTCAGTTGTCAGGAATAAGACTGTCTGGTCTTTACTAACAAAAATAAGTCTGGTCTTGTAATCAATAACCCTTTTACTATAATGAAAATTGACAAGTCAAGTAGGGCTGCTAATCACAATTGCTTTGGTCAATAGTGTAATCACGGCTATTTAAATGATCAGGAGTGGGAGATATGTCCAAAATCTTATGCATTTTTTTTTTTTCACAATAGTGATTTAAGTATAGTTTTCTGGAAATAGGGTTGTTATGATATAAAAATTTTAGATACCAGATGTAAGTAAAAAAAAGTTCTTAAACATTCATTGAAGACAAGTCAGAAATACAATAAAAAACTAATTACAAACAATATGACAAATACAATAAAAAAATATGATTCTTAAAGATTCTTATTCAAGCTATAAAAGTTCTTCAGTCATGAACAGTGAGTGACTTTCTCTTTATCTTTTGTAGTTCGATTAACAGTAATGACAGACGGCAGTAGGTATATTAGGCTGCTGTCACTTTAAGACCTAACACATGGATCCAATATACTGACACACATCTGACCTTTTAGTAACACACCCGAAGTCCAAGGTATACTTCGCTTGTTCGTGTTTCGCTCCGTCTCGAAGCGCACACACTGAAACTCACCTGGGGAAGAGTTTGAGTTTTCTTTCGCAGCTTAAGGCCTGTTCACACCAAGAACGACAACTATGAAGATAACCATATTCATAACTATATTAGCATCCACATCTATGCACGATAAAGTTCTGTTTATTATAAGCATGTGCTGCAGTAATTTCGTCTGCCACTGTTTTCTGATTGGCTGTCAATCTTTTTAATGATTATCAGCTGGAAAAAATCGCTTCGTTCCTCTGTGCCGTTAACGTTATTGTTCTTGGTGTGAACGGGCCTTTAATATGCTCTTAATAACTCTCTAATATCAAGCATGTCCTGCAGTAGACTGCATTTTACGGCAGTCACAATGATTAGACTGATTTGGACATTAAGTTTGGGCTTTTAAGGAGGGGCAAAAGTGATGTAAAGGAATGGAATGCGCTTTATCTCAATTATAATGTTTCACTATTGTTGTAGGGCAAATTTGAAAGAAGAAATTCGATTCATCGCACAGCCCTAAAGTGAAGTTTAGCACGATAAAGGAGAAGAGGGACAGGACACACAGGTGGCGTGAGACAGCGGCAGGAAGGATTAGGTGGCAGTGTTGACTCATATGCATATGGGAGGATTACTAGAAGGGCATAATGAATGGACGTTTAAGTCTGGAGCCCTTACGAGAAACAAAAAAGAAAGCTTTGTGGCCTTCCGCCTTCTACTATGTGAGCTGAAAACTCATTATGTGAGGCCTTTGACCTTTTCTGGTTAACTTTCCGGGTTTTGTGTGAGGGAAGGATGTTACATTAATCCTCCAGCTTTCAAAAGAAAAACCCAACCGTGAGAGACACGGGAACCCTTGGCCTCAAAAGTCATCTTGTGTCTGAGACAGTCTAAGTGATGTCTCATGAAGCCGGATGGTCATGTGACGGGTCTTTTGGAGGTCTGCCAGCTTCCTGTTACTGCATATTTTGTGTTTCCTACAGACCTACTCTCTCGCTGATAGACTTGGCTTATTGATGGCTTGGGAGCTTTTTCGGGGATCAAAGACCCTTGATTAAACGCTTTCAATGGATGCACAACAAAATGTCTATGCACACATACCTTAGTTTTATCGTCCACTACTCTCAGGCCATCAGCCGACACCCAAAGCACAGCCTTGACAGTTTTTTTCCCACTCTGAAAAGAAATATTGAAACAACATCAGCCTTTTGACACAACTGGACATTAGCACTACTGCAGAGGTTTTGATTTGCTGTGCATCAAGCATTCTAGCACAATTATATTTGTCCATGATATATTTCCATGACAGTTTTAGCTTTTGTCAGCTCAATATTTCCTACAGTGCATTAGAGAGTTGCCTGACAACATGCTGACCTGTGATACATGTGAGTTCCAGGAACAAGCCCCATTAAGGCCAGATAAAACTTGGCAAATAAGAACATTTATGTAAGGGCAATATTATTATGCAATAATAATGATAAAAAAAAAAAAAAAGTCTTTACTATTTCAAATAAATGCTCTCCTTTTGAACTTTCTATTCTTATCAAAGAATCATGACAATATTAAGTAAAAATATTGAGCAGCTCAACCAAATTCGAAAATAATTTTTTACCGACCCCAAACTTTTTAACAGTATTACGTGTGTGTGTGTGTGTGTGTGTGTGTATGCATTTGTATATTAGTTACTCGCAATGCGATCTTCCTATTTGGGGGTCCTTGGCCCTGAGGTACATAGGCCAAACTATTAGCATCGCATGTAGACTGAAAGTACACATCTAGTGCGCACTTAGGACAGGTTCAGTAGACTGCAAGAGCAGCTCTCTAGGTTTTGGAACAGGGTTTAAATCTTTCATTGAATCTGTTGTGAGCACATGTCTGTTTGATAGAGTGAAGGATAGGACACAGTGAAACGCATTTAATCTGGAAAAACTGTAGGAATAAGTAAAAGTGAAGAATGCAGCTAAATCAAGAAGAACTGAGGGAATCCAAATGTTGTTACAAGCACCCCAAAAGTCACTGTCCAGCAGAACACTGAGGAAATTACACTGGCTGCAGGTAGAGAGAAGAGACCGGAAAAATAAGGAACAGGCACAGGCACAGAGCAGAATGAGATAAAGGCTTTGGGGGTTTTGGGAAGAAGAGAAAATAAATGAAGTGACTGTGTAGACAGACACAGCGGGAACTACCAACATGGGGATGAAAAAGCAGAGCGTATATGAACAGATGGAGTGGCCCCAAAGACAAGGACCACACACAGTCAGTGTCATACAAACTGCACTTGTGGGCGAAAAGGTCTTTGCATAAAAATGAATGGTAAAAATGAAACAATTGTTTTACAAACAAAAATACATTATAAATACATATACGGTATTACAGCTCTGTTCTGACAATTCAGTAATGAGATTTGCAGTGTCAGGATACGGCTACTGACAGAGCAGCAATACTGAAGACAATAGCCATTGACAGAGCAGCTCCGATCTATAAAGATTGATTTTTAAAATAAATGAGACTCTGATACTGTGAGGACTGAGGATTTAATGCACTGAGAGTCTATAAAAAGCCTTTTGAACACAATGTGGAAATTTCAATTACTTTTCTAAATTAATTGACATTAGCTTTTTACTTGGTGAGCAACTGACCTAGACATGATCTAGAAAAAACTGTTCCAAAAAGTGGGGGATAATAATAATAATAAACAACATATCCATTGTTTGTTTTGTGCTGGTTACGCATTATTCAATTTGACCTACAGAAACACTGGCCACTTTATATAGAATTTGTACACTTTTCGATCAGTTATTTTCAGACTTCTTCATTGATTTTTATTAATAGATACATTCACAATAGAAATGTCTATTACTCTACAAAATTATTGTTACAGTTTCCATAAATTTAATAAATTTGTAATTTCCTGATATTTTCACCTTACCTCAATAGCATTATAATAATATAATAAAATATAATATAATATAATATATATCACATTTTTTTTACTATACTGGGTGACTGTACATTTGAGCCTCCTTGGCTGCCAATTTTCTTTTTATAGCAAGTGTATGTTGTTTTATTCAGTGAGAATGGAAAGCATTACTGTACTCACCAGTTTCAGTTTTTTCACTGCATCTTCGCACACATGCATCCCTCTGGACTCCTCTACCTCCACCAGACCGAGGTACTGCGGAAAGAGAGAAAAAATATAGAGAAAAGGGAGGGAGAGAGAGAGAGAGAGAGAATGATGAAATTTTTCTTCCACAACCCCATTAATTCTCTAAATGACATGACATGCGTTGTGAAAATAAAATCACTGCTCTGTCATTTTTGGTGAGTTTATGTGAGAAAAACAGACAGGAACACAAATTTACTCAACCTCTTCAGGGAAAACTAGTCCTGTCCAAACAGGGCTAGTGTAGATTTCAATGAGGAACCCGTTGAAAACACAGAAGAGGATATATTTGTGGAACTCTGAAGTGAGACACTTTGTCCAGCCTAAACCAATCAAAATGTCCTCACACGGGCACAATTAATAGTCATCTAGCCAGGGTTATGTGATTATGGTGGCCATGAGGACAGAGGCCATTACAGGATTACATCTCAGTCTCACAGAGATTCCTGATGCCTCAGGATGGAGAGTAAAATTAGGCTGAATTTAATTATACAAGATCCACTGCAATATGTTCTCCACTTTACTTAATGATACAGACCCTCTTTAGTCTTGAAAACGCATCTTTGCATTTCAAAATAGGATTGTCAAATGCCTTTAATCAAAATAATTACATAATATGCTGATTAATTAATTACATTAATCACATATATCAGAACTTAGTGAGAAAAGCCATATGAATCATAAAAAAATGGAGTTACTTATTTGTTTTACTTTAATATCAATACTAGCCACATTCTGGAATTCATATAGAGTTAAATCTGTTATATCTCACAATAGATTTTCACACTGAAATAGGGTTGTGAATTTTCATTAAAATATTCACATAATTACACATTTAATGGATTTTACATGAATGAATGGTAATATATTACATGCTATTCCAGCCATGAGCTTGGTGTTATTGTGTGGGGGTTTGATTGGTCGCCCTTTAAGTTCAAGTCTGTTATTGTTCAAAGCTCTAAAGCCTTTGGCCCTCAGCCAGACACTGTTAGGGTGTTGCTGACTTTCAAACATTTAAAAAGTCAATCTATATCTGGACATTCCTATTATACCTGTTTTCTTTTGCCCTCTTGCCCTAGTATTGCTTTTGAATAACAGCGCCTTAGCGTGAGATTTATTCCATTTAAAGTCTAAGCCATTATATGAGTGTTAATGGTTAAATAAGCAAGTCTGGAACATCATAAACTACACTAGAGACATATGTTGGCAGAGCCTGTGTTAGTTTGAATTCAAATGAAACTGACACTATTTACTTTCTTTATAAACATTCCTAGTCTTATTGTGCACTCTTAGAAAAAAGCGTCAATGGGGTCCAAATTTTAAAGAACATTTTATGCCAAAAAGGTTTTTATAAAAGGAGAAAAGTGATTGCATAATACTTTCATGTTTGACATGTTATTTAATTTTTTCTAGAGATAAAGTATGTTTAAGAGGTGCTCACTTCATCGAATTTAATAAAAATAAAAACAAATAAAAACAAAATGAAATAATTAAACTAAATCCATAAAATTATCCCATGATGGGAACCCCCATAAAAGGTTCTATATATGAAGCGCTTGACAGAACCAACAGTTAATGTATTAACTAACATGAACTAACCGTGGTCCATGAGCAATACATGTGTAACTGTATTTGTTCATCTTTGTTAACGTTAGTTAATAAAAATACAGCTGTTTATTGTTTGCTCATGTTACTTCACAGTGCATTAACTAATGTTAACAAATGCAATTTTTGATTTGAATAATGTATTAGTAAATGTTGAAATTAACATTAACAAAGATTAATAAATGCTGTAGGATTGCAGTTCATTATTAGCACATGTTAACTAGTGGTAACTAATAAAACTTTATTGTAAATTAACAAAGACTTAAAAAGCCAGCTGACTTCTCAACTTACCCGGACAGGAAAGTTGCATTTGCCCTTCCGTACAGCCTCTTCATCTGCTTGCCATTGGTGTGGCCGACTGGCTTCCGGCACGTAGGTGGGCTTCTTCCTGCGCAGGCTCTGACGCAGCTTATTCATCTCCACGCTCTCAAACTCTCTGTTGCTGAGCACAAGAAAGAAGACGCATTAGCAGGAGCACAAAATAGCCCTTACTTCACCTGAGCTTCCAACTGTTGAGTCAGGACTCAGGACACACACTAGCTGGGTGCCAACTGAATGTTGACATATCATACAGACGGCAATGTTTCCAGTCATGCTGGATATTCAGGATGTAATCACTCTGATTTGGATCTCAAAAAAAAAAAAAAAAAAATGCCACCTACATTAATTTCAGTTTCTTAGTATTTTTCACTGAATGAAAATAACCACAGTATATTGGATTAAACAGAAATTGCAGAGAATGTTTTCACCTCGGTCTTAAAAAAACAATTACTTTGCTCTCAAGAGGCCTATTATTTATGTAACATAATTAGGTCATTCAGTCTACCCTTAATTTGCATTTCAAATTCTGATGCACAACAAAACAAAGCCAGGCCGCTCTGAAGAATGAATATAATTGAAGCTGTTTAGTCCAAGTTACGCATGTACATCATACAAATTCCATTAAGGAGAATTTACAGTAGTACGCATACTAAAACAAACACTTCGATGGACAGTTCAGTGAAACAAAAAAGATATTTTGAAAATTTGTACAAAAAAGTAAATGGGGACTGAGACTGTTAAACTTGAAAAAAAAAGTTATTATTAATATTTTAGCTTTATATGTTTTGATTTTCAGTTTTCAATGACATTTTTTTTACAAATTTTGTTATGCGCTTTTACTCATTTCAGTTCAGTTTCGAAGTCAACAATTTTTGTTTAGTTTAAGTTTTTCATCGAAAATGTATATTTTATTTTATTTCACCTCAATTAATAAAATAGTTATCATCTAATAGTTATATACTGTAGGTATGAATTTTGCCAAATGTCTTTTCCACAAAAGAAAATAAATCATACGGGTTTGTAATGACATTAGGCTGAATCAATGGGAAAACATTTTTTGCTTTCATATCCCTCTTACATTTCAACTTTTACATACAAAAATCTCATACTATAAAATTAATTGTTATTACCATCTTTTCACACGGTGCGGCATATCTTCTCCTTTAAAAGCTATACACTTCCCACAAACTGTTGTAGTGCGTTCTTCAATGTGAACCACACGCCACACAACCACTTTTGCTTTTATAGCATCACGTCAGAGGCCAAAGGCTCACATTTCCCAAAGCCATGAAGTGTTACGGGTAACAGGTGGCAGACATGGATTGGCGGAAGTACCACTATGTACGCCTGGCCCGAATCCTAAATGCCACGTAACACACCCACATATTCAAAGGAACACATGATTGTATATGAGTGTGGTTTTTTTTTAATAGCCCTGGCGTCTAAGTCTCTGGAGGCTTTACTCAGCTCTGGCACGCGCCTGTTGCTGAGCTTGACAGATCAGAGAGGGGTCAGACACCGGATACGCAGGACTGGCACCTGCCGTTCGTCCGGGTAGTGAGGCGGGAACGGGCAGCTGAATAAACCGCATGGCACTTTTAATGAGGCAGCAGGACATTACAGTAACACCAGTGCATTCCCAACAGGAGGGTCTAGATTTTTGGGGGTTCTTGATCAAGATCAGCCAATGCTTTTGCAGGAAGAAAAAAAATGGAGGAGCTTCCGAGATTCTGCTATACTTTCGGGATTGATCTAATGGCTGAAAGGCTGCCAAAGCTGCAGAACAGCAGAGAGGGAGAAGACATTCGCAGATAGAGAACAGGCCAAAAGCCAATGAGAGAAAGAGAAGAGACTTTATAAGGAGAAGAAAGAAGGAGCTTGAGATGTAGAAGGGGAGGGAGACAAGTGCTAAACACCCTCATTGAATCTTATTGAGGTCACAGTTTTAATGTGTCGCTCACACTGTGGAGCCAGTCACAAACGTCCTAACTGATGCAGCACCAGCGTCAAAAACTAAACATTTTTTAAATCAGTTGCCTGACGTCTAGTTGACTAATTGGTATTAAAAGAGCTGGATGGACTGCAACAGGGTCTCGAGACACGCATTAAAAAAAAAGCGGTACCATTTTAAAACAGCATAAAATGTGATACATCAACCAAATAGGTTTGTAAGAAATAGAGAGACACCAATATTAAAATTCTGGCAAATAGAGAATATTTTTATATTATGGCCAATAACCAGTCAGTGTAATTGTATTATTATTTACAGTATAAATACTACTATTTTTACCATAATATTATTATTATTATTTTGAATTAGCTTTTATTTTATATTTTTAGTTTTCTTTTGATTTAATCATTTTGTAATGTGCTTTTGTCATTTGTATTATTTTATAAAATGATTATTTATAGCTTTAATTTGTTTTTATTACAGTTTTTTGTCATTTTAGTACTTTAGCCTTAACTTATTTCAGTTAGTGGCCAACGTAGCATTTTTATTTTTTGTTCAGATGTCTTAAGGTTAAGTTTTTCATCTAAAACTTATATTTCACTATATTTCACAGTTGTTTCAATTAGTTAACAATAACAACACCATAGTCAATAATCGGTCGATATTAAAATTCTATACTCTTTAGTAAATACAAAAATAAAATCAATCCTTTGAAATGCTACAAGTGAATTTAGGCATCAGTGAGATTATAACATTAGAATGTTATAATCTGTACGGTATAGATATTCCATCATGAAATGTAAAGATTTAACAGCATTATTAGTGTTTTTAAAGATTAACTTTAAGTGAGCATTTTGTTGATTACAAATTTGATCTAAATGTATAATACAGAAAATGACAATGAATGCACAATTAAACAGTTCAATATCGACCAATACGGTACTAATATCATGAATCTCTAGTGTGTGTTTCACTCTCTAGACTGTTTACTTGAATAATAACTTAAAAACCTTGAGCAATGAATTTGCTTAAATGAAAATTCATTGCAATTTCTTAATGTTTATGTGAATATGTAACATTTAAATTAAAAACTGTTCAATAACATAGTGGTTTCTGCTGTTGTATCGCGAAATTCCACTAGATTTGGTATCGCCTACTAATGGTGTCCTGACACTCATTAACACATACAGCAAAGAAAACAATTTGTTCTCGAGAGTTTCTTATGAGACCCGCCAGGGAAATTTCCAAAACATGCATGTGAAAGTCACACAACAGCCATAAGAGCTATCCAAGCCATTCCATGGAAATGATTTCATCACCAAATGAAAACCAGCTGGAGCAACATGGGTAGAGTGAACCAAGACTAAACCAAACAACACTCAAGACTTCATACACAAAACATTTGGCAGAACACTTCTCTTCATGTGTCTGTCTGATGGACCGATCATCTACCACATCAGATCCAAGCAAATATCTTAGTAAACAAGGCTACTTATTATAAAAATGATACATTTGTATTACGAATAATCTTGGCTTCTCTGTGAAGCATATTAACTGATTTATTTTAAATAATATCATAACATACTCATAGCAAAATCACACTGAAATACTTTTAAAGTAACGATAAGAACATTTTTAAAAGGTATGACTTCAGAAGACTTGGAATACACTGCATGAGTTGAATGGACCACTTTAATGCTATATTTATTATGCTTTCGTGCCCTTTTTGAAACTTGAAGGAGAATGAGAATAATGGATTCTCATTTCTGGGTGAACTATTCCTTTAAGGTAATGGGTTGAAAGAAAGAAACGGTGTAAATGGGAGGGAAAATGAAAGAGAAAAAAACAGAGCAGTGAAGGGGCTAAAACCTCACTTAGGACGCTTCAGTGAGCATAATGGCCGTAGCATCACGTGTAACTAACAAATCAAAAGGGCTCCTATAGCAAGAGGCTCAAAATCTACAAAACACCATCCTAAGCTCCCCTGCGGCATCTCAAGACTGTAGAGATACTGAGGAGGCAAAGGCTGCAGTATGACTCTCGTATGGAGGCGGAGGAGCAGATATAGCTTTTGTCTCATTATTACTAAAATCAATGCTCTCAGCACAAGGAATGGAACCGCAGCTGCCTGCGCTCATTTTAGAGACACCGTGGGTGGACAGTGTAATGGAGGCTTTTTGGGTGCTTTTGAAAAAGCGAGTAATTGTAGCATGACACTCCAGTCTCTTACGGTAGGCTGCGCTCAGGCCTCTCACAATTTATTTCAGCAGGGAAATTTTGGAAAATTTTATTTTTATATTTTAAATGTTATTAAATTTAATTTTAAAGTTTTATTCTATCCTCATTATTAACTTGGCCTTTTATTGTTTCAAACATCTGTGGAATATAAAAATAAATTTTGAAGAATATTACTGCTGCTCGATGAAAATGAATGGTGATCAGGGGCTGTCAAGCTCCATAAAGGTCATTTTATGATGCTTTTTTTTCTTTTTGCAGTTTGAAAGCCCCTGTTCACAATATGCTTTCATTATATGGAAAACAGAAGCTCAGATATTCCTCAAAATATCTTATTTTGTGTTCAATGGAACAAAAAAGGTCATACATGTTTGGACAGATAAGAAATGTAGGTGAATTATGACAAGTTCCATTATCATGAGACAAGCAGGGTAAAGCAAGTATGGTTGCCCCGATATAAATATTTGGACCAATACAATAAATCTATAATTTTTTCATTATTATGTCCGATAAATTTTATACTAATTTGTCTAAATAAATTAACAATAATACACACAAAAAAAAAGTTTAATCTAAATGTGAATTTAGGTGTCACAACATTATAACATATTGTACATACGGAACTGAATATTACATTACTGAATATTAAATTATTAAAAAATAAACAAGTTATTATTAAATTAGCGTTTTTGAAGTTAAAATAAGAGGAAATAAGAATGCACAATTAAATATCTATTTTTGACCGATACAATAAATAAACCCTCAAATATCGGCTGATAACCGATATGTTGCCGATATCATGCATCTCTAAATTCAATACACTAGTGTTCAAAGGTTTGGGGTCAGTCATTTATTTTGAAATATTTCACAATATTTACTGTATTTTTGGTCAAGTAAATGCAGCCTTGAAAGTTATGTCATATTTCATCAAATAA